CTTTGAACCTTCTTTGGCAGTGCCTTTCTTTGGGATTGGAATGAAAACTGACCTTTTCCAGTCCTGTGGCCACTGCTCAGTTTTCCAGATTTGCTGGCATATTGAATGCAGCACTTTCACAGCACCATCTTTTAGGATTTGAAAAAGCTCAACTGGAATTCCATTGCCTCCACTAGCTTTGTTTGTAGTGATGCTTCCTAAGGCCCACTTGACTTCGCATTCCAGGATATCTGGCTCTAGATGAGTGATCACACCATTGTGGTTATCTGGGTCGTGAAGATCTTTTTTGTATAGTTCTTCTGTGTATTCTTGCCACCTCTCCTTAATATCTTCTGCTTCTGTTAGGTCCATATCATTTCTGTCCTTTATTGTGCCCATCTTTGCATGAAATGTTCCCTTGGTATCTCTGATTTTCTTGAAGTCTTTCCCATTCTATAGTTTTCCTCTGTTTCTTTGCATTGATCACTGAGGAAGGGTTTCTTATTCTCCTTGCTATTCCTTGGAACTCTGCATTCAAATGGGTATATCTTTCCTTTTCTCCTTTGTTTTTAGCTTCTCTTCTTTTCTCAGCTATTTGTAAGGCCTCCTCAGACAACCATTTTGCCTTTTTGCATTTCTTTTTCTTAGGGATGGTCTTGATCACTGCCTCCTCTGTAATGTCACGAACCTCTGTCCATAGTTTTTCAGGCACTCCATCTATCAGATCTAATCCGTTGAATCTATTTGTCACTTCCACTGTATAATTGTAAGGGATTTGATTTAGGTCATACCTGAATGGTCTAGTGGTTTTCCCTACTTTGTTCAGTTTAAGTCTGAATTTGGCAATAAGGAGTTCGTGATCTGAGCCAGTCAACTCCTGGTCTTTTGCTGACTGTATAGAGCTTCTCAATCTTTGACTGCAAAGACTGTAATCAATCTGATTTCGGTATTGACCCTCTGGTGATGTCCATGTGTAGAGTGTTCTCTTGTGTTGTTGGAAGAGGGTGTTTGTTATGACCAGCACGGTCTCTTGGCAAAATTCTGTTGTTCAGTTCAGTTCAGTTGCTCAGTCATGTCCGACTCTTTGCGACCCCATGAACCACAGCACACCAGGCCTCCCTGTCCATCACCAACTCCCAGAGTCCACCGAAATCCATGTCCATTGAGTCAGTGATGCCATCCAACCATCTCCTCCTTTGTTGTCCCCTTCTCCTCTGGCCCTCAGTCTTTCCCAGCATCAGGGTCTTTTCAAATGAGTCAGTTCTTGGCATCAGTGGACCAAAGTATTGGAATTTCAGCTTCATCAGTCCTTCCAATGAACACCCAGGACTGATCTCCTTTAGGATGGACTGGTTGGATCTCCTTGCAGTCCAAGGGACTCTCAAGAGTCTTCTGCAACACCACAGTTCAAAAGCATCATTTCTTCAGTGCTCAGCTTTCTTTATAGTCCAACTCTCACATCCATATATGAGCACTGGAAAAACCATAGCCTTGACTAGATGGACCTTTGTTGGCAAAGTAATGTCTCTGCTTTTTAATATGCTGTATAGGTTGGTGATAACTTTTCCTTCCACGGAATAGGTGTCCTTTAATTTCATGACTGCAATCACCATCTGCTATAGTTTATCTTAAATTATTGATTATGTTGTACTTATCTCCTGTTCCTTTCCAAAAGGTATTTGAACCATGTCACAACAAAAGATGGGAGTAAAATATGGTTACTAAAAATCCTTTTAGGAAAGGAAGCTAACATGGTAACTACATATTGTTTATATCTAGTATCTAATTCTAGCCAGTATAGTTGCTGTGATTGAATATCAATTTTGCTTTTGAGCTTCCTGGACTATGAATTCTCTTTATCAGAAAGAGGAAAGCATGACTTCCTTAACAGTAATAGATTTTCCTGAATTCTAAAAGAAGAATATTAAATAATTATATCATAATCAGCAAATCATTAAGAAAACAAAACAGAACCACTCTGCCAGGCATAAACTCTGCTCTTAAATTGCTCACAGTCTTTGGAGTTGTCAGATAAGAAAAGGAATAATTGTTTAAATAAAATCCACATTACCAGAGTACACAGGAGAGAGGCATTTAATCTAAATTCTAAGAGAGGGCATAAGCAGGAAATTCTTTTCCAGGGGAAAAATTATGGTAAACTTTGAGACAGAATTAAAGTTAACTAAGAAAAGAAGGGACTAGGAAGAGATAATTGAAGGAAGAAGGAAAAACAGTACATCCTAAAGGTGCAGCATGCATAATAACTAAGCCAGAAGAGATTGTCTTTCGCAGTTAATTTCTGTAATTTGATATGATTGGAATTTAGGGAGCAAATTTAAAAGAAGTAGGAGTTGAAGTAGCCCAGGGGTAACTGTGTGTGTGTGTGGTTGTTTTGGGGTTTTGGTTTGTTTTTCTTTTGTTTTTGAAAGTGATAGTCTTTTTCTGACTCTTTGTGACTCCATGGACTGTAGCTGTCCAGGCTCCTTCATCCATGGACTTCTCTAGACAGGAATACTGGAGTGGGTTGCCATGCCCTTCCCCAAGGGATCTTCCCAACCCAGGGATCTAACCCAGGTTTCCCATGTTGCAGGCAGATTCTTTATCATTTGAGCTATCCAGGAACCCCTTTTGTTTTTAATAGCCTTTAAATATTAGTGCCCCGACTTCCAAACCTGCCAGAGAACTCTCTGGGGTGCCTCAGCAAACTCTCAGGATGCTGCAGTATACTTTAAAATTTTCAAGGAAACACAGTGATACCATTCAGTGATACCATTTGTTGCATACCATGTGAGCTAACTAGAGTCTGTAAAACTTCAATATTAAGGTTATTCTACAACCCCTATGTACTGGCAGAATAGAAGATGAAGGTGGGAATGTCCAATCTGATTTCAAGTTTTGAGAAATTCTAAGTTACCCAGTGGGCAGATCCTGTTAATAAGTAACTAGTTATTAAAGAATGAAATAAATATTAATTTTTCTTTCAATGTATATTATTTTAAACATACTAAATTATTACAAGTATTGATTAAGTTATTTAGACCTTACTACTTAATAAATGGAATTGTTAGGTATTTCTTTATACCCCTCGTCTATGGGGCATAAAGAAAAAAATTCCTGAGACACTTAAGTTCTGGATTAGTACCTAGTATTAAAGTATAGATTTGTGAAAGCAATTCATGTGGTGTTTTCTAAGTCTATAAAGATAGAAGCAAAAATATCAGATATCTAGAGGAGTGCAGTTAGCTTAAACTTTTTCATTTAAGAATTGTTTGCCTCAGTTCACTTTACCTGAAGCTAGACAACAGAAATTTGGGATTTTGTTTCTATAATAGTCGTACGTATTTGATGACCAGTCAAAGGTGGATGTATAAACTTTGGAAACTGAATAAATAGATGATAGGATTTACATTCCATTATAAGTAGTGACAAACCTAATAGACATTTTAGTCCTGATAGGAGATCACTCTGTTTGTGTTTAAGGCCAGTTGGTGTAGATCACCTATTTCAAGAATTTGTAAGAGCTGTGATACCTAGAAATTGTACATACAGATATGAAATTTTATTTGTTCTACTCTTTTTTTTTTTTTTTTTGGTCAGAGTTTCAGAGGCATTCTTGGCCCTAAAAGGTTAAGAACAAATTTATACATCAACTATATACTTCAATTTTGGGTTTCCCAGGTGGTGCTTGTGGTAATGAACCCTGCCTACCAATGCAGGAGACTTAAGAGACTCAGGTTCAATCCCTGGGTTGGGAAGATCCCCTGGAAGAAGGCATGGAAACTCACTCCAGTATTCTTGCCTGGAGAATCTCATGGGCCAAGGAAACTTAACTGGTGGGCTACAGTCCATAGGGTCTCAGAGAGTTGGGCACAACTGAAGCGACTTGGCACACACATACTTCATTTTTTGCATAGTATGCCTGTTGGCACCAGGTAAATTCATACCAAAGCCAAGACAAAATCCTGATCTTTGCATCTATTAACTCACTATTTTGCAAAATACATGTTTTTCAGAGGTTAAGAATTAGACATAATTCTTGCACCAAGAATTTACATAGAACTAATTTTATGGGTGTGATGAATTCTCAAAAAATTAAAGAAAATATTTCAGTTACTTAGATCTGTGGTTCAAAAGGTACATAAAGGGTGAACATCTCTTCTGTGTCCTTCACAAACTTAATTCCTCGTCCCAAAGGTAAAATTTAACTTAAAAACCAATAGTGTTATAGTATTCGAATTTAAAATAGTGAATGTATCAGTAGAAATAGCCAGAACATGTTTTCTTGTTTTAAATATGGATTAGATGTGCTTACCTGATTTGATTTTCATTTTAAGATGAATAACTGATACTTTGTATTCTCTTAGCTTCTATCAGTAGGATATTGTTTAGACACTTTTTTTTTAGTAGTTATTTTTATGTAATATCAACCAAATTATCAATTGGGATAGTTAGCCATGAAATAAATAGAGTTCTAAAATAGTTTTCCCAAGGCCTAATGCTTTTAATTGCTTAACTAAAAAGTGCTCATAAGGATATAATTTTATTTTTGTGAATATTATTTTTAAGAGGTTTCTTATAGAAGATAAAATAGAATTTTATCTTACCTATGGAATTTAATAATAATCCTTACTTATTATTAAGTGACTATATACTGGGTCAGAAATTATATTTGGAATTTCACATATGCTATTTTTAATTACCATGTTATCTCTGAAAAATGCCTAACATTTAGATGTTGCAGACAATTAAACTGAGTATTTGAAAGGTTAAATAACTCGCTCAACATTCACGGTGTAGGTGCTGCTAACATCTAATTTGGGCACTGTTTTTACAGCCCAAAGATGCCTTTTTGTGCAGATGTGTTTTATTTTAATGTAAATTTGTCAGGTAATGCTATTTAGTGAGTGGGCGGAGATTTTGAAGAATTGCCTTTAGTACAGTTTTATTCTTATACTGAATATTTTACTGAGCAGATAACTTTTTCTAAACTCCCACATTTGTATGCTTGTTTTTTTCTGTAGGGCGATTCCCGAAGTCTTCCTTTTTCTGAGAATGTGAGTGCTGTTCAAAAATTAGACTTTTCAGATACAATGGTGCAACAGAAATTGGATGATATCAAGGATCGAATTAAGAGAGAAATAAGGAAAGAACTGAAAATCAAAGAAGGAGCTGAAAATCTGAGAAAAGTCACAACAGATAAAAAAAGTTTGGCTTATGTGGACAACATTTTGAAAAAATCAAATAAAAAATTAGAAGAATTACATCACAAGCTACAGGAACTAAATGCACATATTGTTGTATCAGATCCAGAAGATGTTACAGGTATTTTATTTGATGTTTATATAGTGTACTAACAAGAATGTATTATTTTACAAATAGTAAGATTTTTGCCATGTATAGTCTTTAGCCTTAATGAAAAAGTACAGGGGCTATATTTTCTCCTACAGTTAAGGTCTTATTTATATTTTATTCAGAAGTGCATTGAGTTGATGGATGTGAAGATTAAAATATTTACTTAGAGATGAGTAATTCTGCTGTCTGCTGTCTTACTCTCAGTCACTAAGACATTACTTATTTTCCATTATTAGTGTTTTTGTATTGGATCAACCACATGCTCTTACCTGATTCATTCTTGTGATCAGCAGCACGAGTTTGCCAGAGGACTTTTTAAAGTTAAAAATGCACTATATGACCAAGGGATATTTTTATTTTTTTGCAAATGTCATTGTTCAAACCTGTGACCTCTGTTTTTTGTGCTCTAAGTGACTGAATTAACAACTTATTCTACCAGGCATTTTGTTTAAAAAAGAAGAAAAACATTTAAAAAGCCAAACATTACTTTTTTTCCTTCAGTATAGAAAATGAAAGGAAAATACAACCTATAAGTCCAGCTTAAGAGCATAATTTCTAAACAGTAGAATTAACAGATGTTCATATTGGAAATTTTTCAAATGGTACAGAAAGTAAAAATAGAAAAATGACCTCTATCCAGTCTAGGCCGTCTCCCTAAAGGTAGTATTGCTAACTTTTTTGTTGTATATCCTTACAGAAAAAAAAAAGTCTATTTGTATCAGTGTTCATCCATTTATATTTATACATTCTTTCTAAACTTTTTACTTAACAAATCATATAAGACACATTTGATCTAATAGTTTTGTCTTTGCAAAGAAAATATTTTAAACTAGTAATTGAATGTCTATAATCCTTTATTTATTTGTAAAGACAAAGAGTGGTATATGTAGAATGATGTATCTAGCACCATAGAAATTTTAGAAGAACCTGTGTGATTAGCTAAGAAAAAATGATATAAGTAAAATTAAAGTGAAGAAAGTACATAAATTTGATTAAGATCCATAAATTGCCAGTCTTAAATGTTGTACTTCTGATATTCCATGTACTTGATAGAACTTGTTTTATTACATTCCTTTCAACATCTGGGACTTACCTTAGGGATTTCATTTGGAGATTCAATGTAGAGATTTTAATCATGTAAGAATAATTAAATCTTAAAAGTGAAAGAAATCATAAAGAAACCAGTCTTCTTATTTTAGAGCTGAAATAATCCCAAAGATGTAAATTAATTTGCCCAGAATTACAAAACTAGCTAAAGAACTCTTCAGTCTAGTATTTTTTTATCCACGTGTTCAATAATTACATTATAAATGGAAATTTGTATTATGAAATGCTTTTTTTAGCAATATCATATAAACTTGGAAATAGCCTGTTCTGTTGGAACTCTGCCGAGCTCTACATTCTTTGCCCATTACTTCTTTAGGAGAGTTCTAAAATAAGAAACTGTGCTGGAGCTTTAAACTCCATTTAGAGAAAACATTTTGCTAATCACAAAATACCAATAACTACCTTCTAATTGGAATATAAAAGTGTTTTTACCACATAGAGAATAACCCATTTGGTTTCCCAAGTCATTTTTAAACAACTAACTTTACTGACGTGTATAAATTACTTACGATAAAATGCACATATTTTAAGAATATAATTTGATGTGTTTTAACAAATGTCTATATCCAGGTAACCATCACTACAGCTAGGGATCCTGACCATCACTTCAGTGGTTCTTGTACAGTATACATAATAGTCCCCGTTGGTCTCTGATTCCCATCCCTGAGTTTAGGTAACAACTGGTTTGCCTACTCTCACTTTAGATTAGACTTGTCTTTCCTAGCATTTCATATGAAGAAATGACCTTATAGACCTTCTGTCAGATTTCTTTTCTACCTCAACACTTAATTTAGATATCACTGAACCCTTCCTTGACTTTCTCTGATTCTCTATTTTGGTTTGTCCACTCATTGTTGTATTATGTTGTATTACAGTTCACTTCTGCACATTTTTATAGTACTTACTAAACTGTATGATCCTTGAGGACAGGACCCTTTTTTAAGGTTTATTATAAAAGCATGGAACATAGTAGGTGTTTAGTTGTGAATATTATATCTCAAAAAAAAAAATCCCAGTTAATAAAAATCTTATATTAGTTTTTATAATTATAATAATACCAAACCATAATTTATCATGGTATTTTATTTAATAACTTGGGGAATAAAACCTTAAATAAATTTTAGGATAAATATTTCCAGAAACTTTCTTTGCTGTTCTTTTGACTTATCAGATAATTACAGGGCAGATGTTCTTTGAAGCATAACTTTCTACTGTTACTTCTTAATGCTTAAGTTTGTTGCAATGAACTTGACAAGTTGGTTAAAATTTGAATGTATTTAAAAAACAGTTCTCTTTGCAGATGTCATATTCACACATCTTGGTGATAAGTTTTTTTTTTTTTGCTGTTTTTTTTTGCTTTGCTTTGTTTTGACTGCATTAAAATCAACAATAGCACAGAGGATTAAGGTAGTTAATCATTAATTTTAGGTCAGATTGCCATGAAATTTTATGTTTTACATTGCATACTAATTAGACAAAATCATTTAACTTGATTAGATCTGACGTAAAGAGTCAAGGACCTGGTGTTTGCTTTCAGTTCTCTAAAGTATGTGGATTAATAAGTACATGCAGAAGTATTTGGCTAATTTCTGTTGTCTTGAGGGTATGTGAGCAGAATGAATGATTCAAGGAGAGAGGGATAGAATATAAATTTGCATTGTATATGTGATTGCCATGTAAGCAGTTAGGAGACCTGCTTTTAACTCACTTCTTCAGTAATTAACTCCTTTAGCCATTAGTTTGTAATTTGTAAAATAAGGACATTTATCAGATAAAATTTAAGACTTTAGCCATAAAAGTCTCTGAAATAGTGCTTAGTATAATATGAAGGTGATCATTTGAGACTGTTAATGTCTAAAATATGTGTTCATTTATGCTTGAGTAGTAAAAAGTAAAATTTTTGATGTTCTCTTCATGTTTATGATACTATAAGCTTCCTATTCACCTTCCATATACTTATAGGATAGTCTCATGGAGTATTATTATTATGCCCACTTGGAAATTAGAAACATATTATAAAATGAGGCTGACTGTATGTTGTGAAAAAAGTTTTGGATCTCTGTAAAGTGCATTTGTAATCTAAGTCATAGTTGATACCTAAAACTCTAAATATTTAAGAAAAAACTGATTTTCTGAATCTTTGGAATCTTATATGTTATCCCTAAAGAAGAGGACAAGAATATTTCTCATATTTTATTAGGTATAACTAATAATTTGTATAGTTTAAATCCCTCTGTTTTTACCTTCCTTCTCTTGCCCTCTTCCCATTTCCATTTTCTCAGACCCTAACAAACTTAGATTGATTTTTTGCCATTTGAGGTGGGGAATATTTTCTTTAATATGTAGAATATTCAGAAAGGAAGTATTGATTTAGTATAGAACTAATGGTGTTGGAATTTTGTGTGTGATTTTGTTTGTTTGTTTTGGCTGCAGTGCACAGCATGCATTATCTTAGTTCCCCAACCAGGGATTGAACCCATGGCCCCTGCAGTGGAAGCACAAAGTCCTAACTATCGGACTGCTAGGAAATTCCCTGGAATTTTTTTGAATTAACTTTGGAAACTTCTCAATTTCTGAGCTTTATCTGTATTGAGAGAGCCAACTTAATGACTAAAATGTAGTTTATGAAGTCTTTCTTGAATGAGTACAAGTGAGAATTTAAATTTCTTTTTTATTATTGGCCTATCCACCTAAATGTAGCATAGAAATTATAGTTGACTTTTATGTTTATTAAAGTGTATAGCTTGATTTATTATGCTGTTTCTACATAATCCTTATTTCTGATTGAATTTCTCATTTTGAGGTAAGCATATGTTGAATTAAGTTGTGAACTCCTAAGGAAAGGATTGCCATTAGGTTGGTAACTATAATCATTAATTAACAAGTCACTTTTAATGCCTCTGGATTTATTTTCTTGTCTTTAGAATCATGAAATTAGTTGATTAATAGACACCTAATATGTGAATTCTTTGATGATATATTTTTTAAAGTTAATACACAGTAAAACTGATTCTTCCTGGGTACCTCATTCAGTGAACTTTAACACACAGATAGGTTCATCTAAATATCACCACAATCAGGAAAAAGGGCAGTAGTATCCCTTTGTAGTCACATCCTCTTCCTACTCCATATCCCCTGGCAACCACTGATATGTCCTCTGTCACTTATAGTTTGCTTTTCAAGAATATCATATAAATGCAGCCATAAAGTTTATAACCTTTTAAGTCTGACTTCTTTTACTCAACATATTGCTGTTTGAGAGTCATCTAGGTTATTGCATTTAGCAATAGTTTATTCTTTTTTACTGCTGAGTAGTAGTCCATCATATAGATGTACCACAGTTTATTTATCCATTCTTCCACTGTGAACTATAGAGTTCTTTTCAGTTTTTTGGCAGTTATCAATAAAGCTGCTATAACTGACCATTAACAAGTTTTTGTTTGAACATGTTTTCAATCCACCTTGGTAAATACTTAGGTATGTGATTGCTAAATCATATATTAATATGTTTGATAATATAAGAAATTGCCAAAGTGGTTGTATTATTTTTCCAGAGTGACTATATTATTTTTCATTCTCACCAGCAATATATGAGAGTTCCAGTTGTTCCACATCCTCTCCAGCACTTGGTATTGTTAATGTATTTTTTAAAGCAGTTTAACTGGTGTGTACTCATTGACTTTATATATTATTGTAATTAGGAAGAGGAAAGAAGAAAAAATGGCACCATCTTAAGCAGAATTTATGAAAGAATTGTGCATGCTGTCGGTGCAGAATGTAGGCCTTTTCTACCAAGAGTTAGGCAATAAACAGTGTTTAAACATTAAGGTGTCATGTAACAGATGAAGGCAGTTATGAAATTT